TCAGAAGTCAGTCCACGGTTGCCCACATCGTATTCATCCGATGCCCGACAGTGTCCACTCATAAACTTGGATCTCTCTGTTCTGGGACCCAGGACGTGTTTTGGAAAAAGGAAGAAAAGTGGTGGAATGCATAGACAGATAATCTCATCGGACAACTCGCATCCGCTCACCAGCAGCAATCAGCAACCACACAAAAGTGAAGGCCTGACGCCCTCATCACACCACGCCTGTCATTGCAATAACTGGGAGAGAAGCAGCAGCACTGTCCATCGCATCACATCGGATGTTTCAAAAGTGTTCGCAATTTGCGTGGAAATTGGGTTTGCCTCAGCAAATCCTCACCACGCCGAACATCAACCGTTCGACAACTTTTATTTTTCTTTTGAAACACGTCCACGACCAATTCATGAAAAAGATACTGTATATTGCAGAATTGCATAGATCAATGAATTTTTGAAGTGGAAATTATTGGGAAGTATTTTTGACAGGAAATACTGCCGAATTGATGTGATAACTGGACATTCTCTCGTCCAAGACGAGCGCAGAAAAATTGAAAGATCTATTCAACACTTCTCCAATGAAATGCCAAGTGATTTGAAGCAATTTAAGGGGCGTTTATTGTAGCTGCTATTTTCTTTATAAGAGACGCCCAAACTTGATTACTGTAGTTGTAGCGACTGCTCGGAAATAAATTCAACAAGATGTTTAGACCCCAAGTGGAACATTTAAACTTTAGGGGAAATGTTTCAAGAATGACAAGGATTTGATTCGAAGGATCCTCAAAAAAAAAAAAGGAAGCACGTGCAGTATTAAAACTCTCGGAAACTTTTCCAGTTTCTTTTACAAATATAGTCACACACTTGTACACATTTCTCTGATATTTTAATTTCCTGGCAGAATAACTTATTTTTATACTGAATAATTAATTCACAAATATCGAACAGGTCATGTCTGGTTCTACTGAAGAATTCTGGGAACCTCACGAGATATTTGAGAAAGCCATTGAGTTTGGATAACGCTGAGAACTTTTCGAAATCGACCAGAAATGAACTCGCTCAAACGAAATCAATGAGGAATGACGAATGAGCAACAGCAGTGCATGTGTTCGTTCATCGAAGTTAATTCGGAGCATTAATTCATCCTTTCCTTTCGCTCCTATTATTTCAGTAAATGCTGTACAGTACTTCCCTGATTCAACCTTGCTTGAGCTGATGTCATGTTTAAATCTAGCACCCAGAAATTCTCCCACGGAAACCTTGGGATATTCATGGGATTTTCCGAGACACGTGAAGGGCGGGTTTTCACTGAAATATTGTTGGCAAGCCTGCGTCTAGACCACAGTAGACCCCGACTTTGGAACGGCACCGAAAAAAACTGTAAAGGCCTAAGTCCTTCTCGCGTGGTTTTCCGCCTGCGGGCTTTACCGGGTACCTGCCATTTGTCATGATAATGTCCCACATGATGATGTAAATTACTTCCCTAATCACGGCACTGCATCAGATGAGATGCCCCAGGGACATTTTCTACTACCTTAGATAGATCAACTACGGTGTACACGTGGTATTGAGGATTCGGAAGAAAAACAAATTTGATGATTGCGGAAGAAATTAAGCAAAGTTTTCAGTGATATTCATGGAAAACTCAGGAAGGATCCACAAAAATTCAATTTGGGGAGATTTGAGTTCGGGAAACTGGTATTTTCGCTGGAAAAGAAGAAGAATCACAGGAAGGTAAAATTTGAAAATCTTCTGTACCTTGAACTGCTGAGTGAATGGATTGGCAGATCGCTGAACTTGGAGGAAAGGGCCCATTTTGTTCAATTATTCAGTCATTTATTTGTAAAAGCACCAATATCCAATTATGCATCAAGTTTTTATTGCTTTTCTGTTTCCTGGGTCACCAGAATAATACCCCAGAGGCATCCTGCAATTTTGAGCAACACATTCTTGCGGAGGAATTCTTCAAGTTAGGGAGGTCTATATTCAACTTTCATCAGGGAAATTCAGACTGGGACTAAGACACATTTTGGCATGGGGATTTTTTCAATTTGAGTCAACAACGTTGAACTGTACCAACTGACCAAGTACTGTATAACCCAAAACAGATTGAATAATCGTCTGCTTTTATTTTTCAGATTTTTCCTGTGCACAGTAAAGCAATATGTGCGTTTATATTTGCCTTTTGGACTCCTTTCCATGCCAATATGACAGATTCTGAGAGGTTTTTTTTTTCCGAGCAGGTCTTTTCTTTGTTTCATAATTTAAAAAAAGTATGAAAACACTTTTTTCCGATTTTCTGCCAAACATGAAAAGTTATTTGGAACGTTTCTCTTGAATTTTATGCGGAAAATAAGATTCACCATGCTGCAGAGATTCAAACATATGAACAGAGCCTGTGAAGTAATTATGCCCACATTTCAGGGCCCTGCCATAATTTTCCTAAAAAGTAACCATTCCACGAAATACCACTCCTTTTTTGCATTAGAGAAAAAAAAAATGCTCATAGGTAGCTTCTTTCCCCACTCCCTTTTGACCACTAATCTCTGCAATTTAAGGCCACTTTCATCCCTTCACTGTCCAGATTATAATGCCCTTTGTCAAACAGTCAAAAGAGGAATGCATTACTGTACTCGGTGTACTGTCCTGCGAGGACGCCATTCCTCAACACTCATGAACGCAGTGCGCAGTGGACCTGAAGTGGAAAGGGAGTGAGCAGTGGACGACAAGCTTCACTCCCTCACTCACTACCCATGTTTCTCTCTCTCTCCCCTCTCCCCTAACTAAGGTGGATGTCCTTCCCGTTTTCGGATTATCATTGCATTCTCCAGCAGTGGCCAAGCTGACGGCAACGACGCGGCAAGTGTAGAGCTCAATTCTAAGGAACGTGAATCAAGTAAAGAAGCAATGACTCGGGTTACATATTCCACGAGTTTAAAAAGCTTCTTACTTATTTTTTTCAATTTTGAATTGCCTTGTGCACGGGGATTCAGGTTTTAAAAAAAGAGACATTTTCATATGCAGTAGTATTCATACACCAGAAGGTCAGCAGTTCGGAGGAGAATCGAAGTTCACTGGTGGTCAATTCTTTGGTTCACGGACAAGCATAAAATGCAGCAGGAAGCTCAAAAAGCCATTGTCTCACAATTCCACAAAGACTTCGCGTTTCTACATGAGTGACATAGTAGGGAATCTTTCGTACAGTATTCAGATCTACACCCGGCCGAAGCAAGTTCTATATTTCATTCCAAGCGTTCGGAACTGCTTGAAGAAAAGTGTTTTCGCAGTGCAGTGAAACGCTGTGAAAAATCGTCGCTTCCCCTCTTTTAAATTATTCAACGTCGAAGATGTCGACGCAATCCTATATTTTAGGAAAATTCAAACGTTATGTCAGGGATTTCTCCCGTAGTTCAATCTCTAAACTCCACACTTCATTTTACTTATCAGCTTTGCGTCTAAAGTCTAAAACATAAGCATGTTACGGTAGACGTTTTCTATTGAGTGAATACGAAATCAAACAGCTCATTAAAATCTTCACTGTATGTAAGTTAGTAGAATTTTTTACATTTTATTCAAGGCGCCTAATCATCAATGAAGTGCAGAACCAAGCATTTATCTCTTGATAGATACTTCCTCAAAATTCTACTGATATAATGCATCTCTAAAAAATCTAATGAATCAAATGAATGCAATGACACTTCGATTTAAATTTCAATTTTAGTCGTTTACAAAGAGATTCGTGCAAAGAAGAAAAAATCTGCGAATTTCTCGAGATTCTCTGTTTGTTTTTGTTTTTTTCGGAACAAAAGGTCATCAGAAGTTATTTGTTTAAAAATTCGCAGCTTTTGTGGAAGCCTTGTGTGCGAAGCTTGAAATATTTGGGTCATTGTAACATTCATCTCTCAACTGAAAATCAATCGCCCAATGATACAATAACCGTTTTCCCACAATTAACGACTTTTTGCACAGATCCTTACGTTAAATTGCATAATCTCAAAGTTAAGGAACCATCACTTGGTTCAATAAATCCCACTAAACGAGACGCAGGATAGGCATGCATGCATATTATTTATGCTACTAATATATTGATCAAACAAATAATCGAGCAATAACTGAGCAATCACAAAAAAGTGATGTTTTACAAGGGAACGCACTTGAAAGCCATAAACTACAAACGCAGTCGCCAATTTATAACCTCATTTACTAGGACGTATACTCTTATGGGTTAGCTTTGCTTCCTTGTTTCACGCTAATCCACTGAAACAAAGAACACTTTTTCAAGTCATCAACACTTCGAACTTCATCTTTGACAGCAAGGAATTTCATAACACTGATACGATCTTCAATAAGTTTTTTTATTTAGCTGAGAAACTGAGAAGCAAATCGAATGAGGGTAAATGGATATTAGAAAAAAGAATGAAATGCTATTTTTGACAACCAACAAGATCCATCCCTCTCAGAACGCTTGATTGAAGCGTAATGGACAAGGCAGAAATACAGTATTTATTGTGATATCACATGAAAACCTCCCCATATTCAAACGTTATCATGCAAGTCGCCTTCATCATTAATGCTACGGAATTGGAAAACTTTCGATTGCGAATTATTTAAGATTCACTTTAATTAGAACACTTTCCTATTCATCGAATGAGTAGTCCCTCGATTCTAAAGTAATAGTGTTTCAGTTTTCATACTGCAGTAATTACATCAAATAATGTAATTACAACAGAAATCTGGATTTTTACTACTAAAATTGGTACGGTAATTGATTTACAGTTTATTTTGTACAGTAATTAAAATATTTTTCTTTGATCGAGAGCATCGCATCCAAGAACGCATCCTTATAATTCGTTCTTTAAAAAAAACCGGCGTTGCAAGAAAGAAGATTACTGTATTTTCACCGTAGAATTGAATGCCCAGATTAAACATGTTGTTGTGCCAACATATCTTCATAATTTGCCCACGTTTACCTAATAAAAAAGACTTTCATTATTTTTTTCTTCCAGAAGTTGAAAAAAAAAACGAGAAACATGAAGGGCGCAGCAACGACGCTTTTCGGCATAATTGCGCTTCTCGGGTCTTCTCTGACAACGGCTCAACAATCCCAAAGCAGTTCATCATCCCCGAGCAAAATCGACAATTCCTGGCTTTTCCACTCAATGACCCAAATGGCCATCGACACCCACCGCACAATCGTCACCGGCAACACAATTCGTTCCTGCAATTCATCATCATCTTCGTCGTCAAGTGCCGACATCAAGCGAGACACCAACGTCGTCTTCTCGCCCCTCAGCATCAGTTCCGCCCTCTCAACCCTTTTTGTTGGGTCTTGGGGTCAAACGAACGAACAACTGAGAGCCGGACTGAATTATCCGTCGTCGGATTCGTTGCCGGAAGCAGATATTCACACTACTTACAAGGCCAACTTGGACGCTTTGTTGGCGCCCAACCGCGGCATTGACATCAACTACTCGAATTCGTTGTTTGGTGGAGCTGGGCTCAGCGTCATCCTCTATTTCTATCAGGTAATTCGTACGAGTCATGATTTCTGTACAGTATATTCTCATAAATCAGTTCCGTTTACAGAATTTTAGTAAACGGATTTTTTTTTTTTTTTTTTAAACCAGAAAAACGTTTACTCCTATCAATCGAAGTGTTTTCATTCAAAAATTTTTTTTAATATGGACCAGTGAGGAAAATGAAACATAGCTGCTGGTCAAGTGTAATAAACTCACAGTACTTGCATTTTTATTCGGACTTCCGACTGATATTCTTGATCGTTATAAAAAAGAACCCAGAGAAACATAGAGAAGTCGGAACATTTTTAGATTTTTAGTTTTCTGAACCTCGAAATCACAAAGAAATACTCGAATGTCCGCCGAAAAAATTTATGTTTCCTTCAGTAAATCATTTTTCCGGCGGATTTAAAAGACATACGAGAAAAACTACCAAAAAAGACGGCCTCATCTGTTATCAGTGAAAGAAAAACTGGATGCATAGTAAGTTCCATGTTTTTTAAACATCTCATGAAAAAAAACAACACGCGTTTCAGCTACCGAAAAACACCAAATCTAGTCCTAAAACGAACACACAAAAATGAGGGCAAAAATCATGAAGAAAAAATAAAAACTACAGTAAATTTCTTGGAAATTTTTCCAGGATGTCCAAAGTTACTACAAGACAGCGATTCGCGGAGTTGACTTCCTCAACAAACCCACACAAGCTATGAATGAGATCAACCGATGGGTGAAGGAGCAAACCAAGGGCAAAATCACCAACATTCTCACTTCCCCACCTTCTCCTGAAACCAAGTTGGCCATCGCAAATGCCATTCATTTCAAGGGTGCTTGGCAATCCCAGTTTGCCGAGGAAGACACCAAAACCGAAGAATTCTTCGTCACTGACAAAGACGTCGTTCAGGTGAGTCAAGAAATGTTTCTGAGACAGTATATTCTAGAATTTCTGAGGGATTACTTTAGAAAAAATGAATGGAGATGCTGCTAAAAAAAAAAAAAAAACCGTGGTGACAACTTTCATACTGAAATTAGATTTAAAAACAAGGTCTAACCTCGCTACTGAATCTTATTTTCACCATACAGTATATTCTCGATTTTCAGAGGGATTACTTCAGAAAAAATTGAAAGAAGATGTTGCAAAAAAAAAACGTGGTGTTGCACACAATGGATCTAATTTAAAATCAGAAGCGGTCGTATGTGACGTATTCTATTTAAAAATTATAATAAAACGAGCATTTAAAGGTGAACTCTCGCTACAACGATCTCGTATACAACGATTTTTTTGCGTGACCTCAAAGAATTTTCTCTCCATTTCATAGGGGATCTCTACAACGATTTCTTATGGTCTATCGAATTTTGCTATAGAGAGAGTCCACCTGTATACTACACACTACAGTACTTTCATCTGAATCACCTCCTGTCCTGAAACAGATAATTGCTAATTAAATCACTCTTCTTTAGGATCCCGTTCACGCCTCTTCACTCGCATGCTTTCTGAATGACATGTTCGTTGCCTAAAGCACCACTGATTCAAATTTAAAATTTCGAAAAGGGAGAAACATTGTGAAGAAAATTGATCCTAGCAAAATTGATGATGCGACCCATTTTCCTGGACATAAATTTTGGAGGCAATCATGAAATTATTCGAAAATAAATCGCAGTAACCGTCGCTTTCGTCGTCGAAAAATTGTGAAATTCACTGACGTGATGAAGTTCCTCGATCAATGGATCCCAGAACCTTAAAACATCATGGCTATGGCTATGTCACGATTTTTTTTCTTACGGTTACGCCTATTTTAAAATATCAGAGGTCGCATTATACTTGAAAAACCCTCGAACAGTCGAATTAATATGTCGAATTTTCTGTGGCCTGTTCGCCATTATTTTCTTGACCCAAGCAAGAACAAAAGAAATTTGTATTTTAAAGGAAGTGAAAGACTCAATTGGGCAAATGAACCCCTGCCTCCAAGTTCATCAGCCTTTCAACTCATTTAAGAAGCCATTCAAGCCCCAGAATATCACCATTTGCATTTTTGTAAAATTTCCCCAACAAAAAAGGGGCTTTGTATTGTAGTTCAAGCCTATGTATTTCAATTCCTCCTTAAGTCAAAACCTCCCCAAGTTGAATTCTTTTGCAGGTCCCTTGAAATTCGACTTGAAGAGGTTCAACTTGTATATACAGTACCAACTAAAATGTATCTACTTCCTCTTGTTTTTCTTTTATTTCTTCTGTTTTTTTTAAAGGTACCCATGATGACGCAGACCATGGAAATCCCTCAAGTTCGCGACGACGAGTTGCAACTCCAAATGATCGCCCTGCCTTACAAGCAAGCCGAGTTCGCCCTCTACATAGTCCTACCAACGAACCCCGGCCTGGACGCCCTCCAAGACATCGAATCCCGCATCACGGAACAATCCATCGATTCCCTCATCCGTCGCATGAAAACCACGTCGATGCGAGTCTCGGTCCCCCGATTCAACCTCAGCTGGAAATCCGACCTGGTGTCAGTCCTGTCCCGCCTCGGGGTCTGCGACGCGTTTTCTCCGTCGTCGGCGGATTTCCGTCGACTCGCCGTCGAAGACGGACTCTACATGTCCTTGTTGTTGCACCAGGCCGAGATGGAGGTGAATGAAAAGGGCACCGAGGCGGCTGCCGCCACCGTGGGCACCATTTCCAAGAGTCAGCCCAGGGTGTTCAAAGCGAATCATCCCTTCATGTTTTTCATAAGGGACAATCGCACGGGACTGCCGTTGTTTTGGGGACGAGTCGCGCGTCCGACGACAACCGCTTGAAATACTTGCAATTTGAAAAATTTTTTTTTTTTCGGGGAGAGTTTACGATGGAATTGAAAAAAAATATCTACGTGCAACATTTTACGAACGCAAGTGACGTGACATGACGTGACGTGATTGATTTCATTCGTAAATTCGTTCAGGGGACCTCTTTTGTACTGTATTCAGAAAGCGGAAGGGGTTTAAATAACGGCTTTCCAAAGAGTGCTACTTACGAAGTTTTCTCATGCAGGCTTTTCCTCGTTCGATTCGCTTCACAAAAGATTTATTGAATTTGAATAAACGCACGATTTTTGGGATGAAATATCCAAGTATACGGTATTGTGATAAATTCTCTACAAAAATAAAATATACTGTACAATGATTTTCCTCAAGACGATAGCATATACAAATCCCGTTCAAAATCCTCATTTCCGTTTTCGACTTGTTATTGGCTTACAAAAAATGCATTATGGAATTTTGGTGTCATAAAAAGAATATATTTCTTTTTACAACTTCGGTAGGACATTTTCTCAGGCTTTCCAGTAGATTCAAGCAACTTGACGTGACAGAGAAGACTTGGTTCAAAATTATGGAAAAATTCGATTTACAACAAAATGTGTGAAATACTCCATAACCTTTGCAATACACTTTTGACCGATCCACAAAATGTATTGAATTCCGCCACTATGGTTTTAATGAAAACCTTGAATCGAATGATTCTTTGAAGTTTCTTTTTCGTTAAAAAATTTCGAAGTTCTTGAGTTATTTCTTCGCTCGCGTCGTATCCAAATGGAAACAACCATTATCCGACTTTTGAAGGCCTTTCTTATGAGCTTATAAAAAATTCATTTTCTTCAACGTCGATATTCCTAACGGTTTTCGATACAGCTTTGGTTAATTCGAAAATTTATAAATGAATCGAGAGACGTTTTAGCCTCACTTTGGAAAGATCATTCTTTCCGCGATGCGTCAAAAATTAAAAATATATTTCTCTGCAAAAAATGACTTCACAATTCAAGGGCAATTCCTCCAAATGAAAATGAGCATCAAAAAGCCGTCCACGTTCTAAAATCCCTGTTCTTCTTGCTCTGACAAGCTGTATGAAAATGTAATGGCTCAAACACGTTAACCTGATATCAGATAAAAATATTTGTCTGCATAATGTATCATGCCAACCAAATGGCCTGAATTTGAATTTTAAAATAATCATTAAAAACTTCCAAGAAAAAAACAAGAATTTTCCCTTCAGTGAACATCGTTTTCGTCTCTCGTAAAATTTGGATTTTATCCACTACATAAAGCGATTCACTTCATTGTCTTCACATCGAGAATTCTGCAAACGTGAGANGCAAACGTGAGATTAAAATGTTCATAATATCGAGTACAATATTTTCTAAGCAATATTTTGAAAAACACTGCAAACGGGCATGTTACTTTCCTCCAGTTTCGAAAGTTTTTCGTTGCTCCACTGCTCTCCATTCAAGTTCCATTAATTTTACTGTCTCTTTTAAATTTATAAACAAAATTAATATCCTCAAGATTTTCGAGTTGTTCGCCTTATTTTTTTCGAACAAACGACTTGACGGCGTCATCGTGTCGTTTATATTAGTGCAGTATATGAATTTGACATACGATCAATGTCGCGATTGATGTTTGGTTTCGTCGACAACAGCAAAAAATGTGACAGCACAAAATGTACAGCTCGCATTTCGAAGTCGGCAATACAAGGAAACTACAGAAGCGATTGCGTCTTTTTTTTTCCTGCGCCATTCCGCAAAGTAAAAACGCTTTAATAATTCAGCTGACCGCAACGGAACTTTCGCATAAAAATACACACATGGGAACGACGCAGTTCATTCATTTTTAAATATTATGGATGACTCGCGTGCAACCCCAAAACAAATTCATTTCGTATTTCCGTATGAAGGGCATCACAAAGGGGGAATCCCCATCCACTTCATGCTCATTGTCCCTGGATTTCAAAAGTCGCGGATTTCCTTTTTACTGTCACGCAACAGCAAAAAAAGTTTAAAAAATGAATTAGAGACTGCATTTCCATGCGCAACAAAATCGACGAGGGAAATAGACGAAGGATTACACGGAAATCAGAATAAATTAATTTACCGTACTCCAGAAAAAAAACCATGATGAACTATTCAGATAATAATGTCATCCATAAGAGATTTCAAGTTATTTAAGGCATCGAAAATTGCCCCGTTTCTCCAAAAATGAAACCTCGCTGATTTTTTTTCCATCACCCGGAAACTATTTTAAAGCTTTGATCATGTCAACGAAGAAGGGTTGGTACAAGAAAAAAAATGTGTTGGCCCTAGTTTACCTGCAGTTTGCATGAAATACTGTGTGAGCGAAAATAATAAATAAGCGACTGGATTTTGGCTCAATTATAAAAATAATTGCAAGTGGTGATATTTACTTTACTTCACGTCATTGCTTCAGGTCTGTATAAAAAATTCAGAGATCCTCCGCATCGTAGACTTCAGAATTCCATATAAGATTCAGTAATATCCATGACAAATAAGCTTTGTTCGAAAGTAGAGCTTAATTGCAAAATCGATTCATACAATTTTTAACAGAGCTTTTCCGTCAAAAATTTCATACGAAGAACACGGAAATCGATGAGTGGAGCAAAATTCGAATTTCAAAATTTGCATACAACGCTTTCATTCTCTGAAATTTGTTGGTGGCGTAGCCGAAAATAAAAAAATCAAGGCATCAAATAATCTTTGAAACTTGATATGCAATTGATCAAATGTTATAAATTGGAAGATATAATATTAAAAAGTGAACGAGGAAGTCAAAGAAAAGTGCATCATCATATATACAGCGAAAAAAAACTACACAAAATTGCATGGAAAATCCAACGCAGGACATCAGGAAGCTTCAGCAAATTATGCCTGATTAAAGCATTCCCTCGTGTGCGTCGACTATTTTCCTGTCCAGATACATGAAAAAAAATCATCAAAATTGTTGCAAATAAAAATGTAATCACAGAGTACTAAGTTCAAAAGGATGCGACTCAGCAAATCACGGTCCGCAGTCAAGCGTGGCGTTCTCATGACTCTTTAAGGTCAGCAATTTCAACCAGATTAAACCTAATTTGTCAAAATGTATTCCACAAATGTCGATCGGAGTCCAAAAAACTATGCAATTATTTATTCTTCAACAAATGTAAACGAAAACTGAAAACAATAATTTTAAAAATTCATTTTTTTACGGAAAAAATACAAATCTCGTGACCTAGAAACAGAAAAATCACCACTTCCTGCCTGACAAGCGAGATTGAGATGTTCGCGCAGCAGAAAAAAAAAGCTGCTGCTTATTCACAGAATTTCATCATGGTTTCAAAACTTTCATTTTCCATTTCATATTTATATGACACTCAATACAACCTACTTCATTCGTAACGAGTTTCATTCGTCGCTAATAAATCTTTATAATAAAAAGCAACATTCCAACAGAGGGCTTCAAAACAAGCTTCCAAAAGTGTGGGGCCTCACCTCGGAACAATCAGCAAGTCTAAAACCCGGGATCGGCTTACATATATTATTTAAAGCTCCTTTCATGCCTATCGCTTGTGTGTGAATCGAGGGGAATATATTGGGACAGGGAAAATACGTACGAGGGCACGTAACCAGGCAAAAGACTAACTTTAGTTTTGTTTCCAACATATTTTTCCCGGAAGGCAATCATAGTTTGGTACTGAACTGTCTAACATGAATTATTCCGGCAAATGAAAAATCAAGGGCCGTCGATTATTGAAATGGTACAGGAATTTATCTGCAGCCACTGCAAGTTGAAATGTCCTAGCATATTTATTTATAGATTTTATTTCCGAAGTTTAAAAAAAAATGAAAAATTCAATAGCTCAAATGATCAGACGTCAAACTTGTGGCGAGTGTTTTTAGGCAAAATATTCCAAGTTCGTGAATCACTTCTATCATCAACGGCCAAAACTCATTTCGTGGAATTCTTCAATGTTTAATTGATGAAAATGTGTCCGAAAATTAAGGGAATTCTCAATCCTACATCACAAAAGACCAAACATATAAAATTTAAATTTCTAAATTCTAAATCTAAAAAATCACAGATTGAAAAAAATTTGAAGTGCTCTTATTCGACTCTCTTGGACATTTCGCCGTTGTGCGATACGGAAATACTGTATAGTAGTGTACTGTATCGCGAAACTCCAAAGAAACACAAGTTTTCATAAAAAAATTCCCTCTCGTGGGTGAAGAAAATTACAATCTGTATCACCAGCAGGGCTTTGAACAGGATCCTACATCAATTAATTCCTTTGACTAACTA